CTTTCTTGGTCTGCCTGTGTGTTGACACACTGTGTGCCGGGGCCCGCTCACCTTTCTTGGTCTGGCTGTGAGTTGACACACTGTGTGTCTTTTTTCGTCTGGCTGTGAGTTGACACACTGTGTGTCTTTCTTGGTCTGGCTGTGTGTTGACACACTGTGTGTCTTTTTTCATCTTGCTGTGGGTTGACACACTGTGTGCCTTTCTTGGTCTGGCTGTGAGTTGACACACTGTGTGTCTTTTTTCGTCTGGCTGTGTGTTGACACTGTGTGTCGGGGCCTGCTCACCTTTTTTGGTCTGGCTGTGAGTTGACACACTGTGTGTCTTTTTTCATCTGGCTGTGAGTTGACACACTGTGTGTCTTTTTTCGTCTGGCTGTGTGTTGACACACTGTGTGCCTTTTTTCATCTGGCTGTAAGTTGACACACTGTGTGTCTTTTTTTGTCTGGCTGTGTGTTGACACACTGTGAGTCTTTTTTCATCTGGCTGTGTGTTGACACACTGTGTGTCGGGGCCCGCTCACCTTTCTTGGTCTCGCTCTCTCTGATCATAAAGGAGCCCATCTTGGTGTCTGGCAGCTGTAGCAGCTCCTCGGCCTTGTCTCTACCCAGTCCTTCGAACAGCCAGCTGTGGAGAGAGGGCAGGCGTGAGTACCCAGGAATGCGCTGCCCACCAAATAGGGCAGAGATGTGAAATAGAAGATGGAAGGCCTGTTTGTGTAAAGCTTTATGAATTAACAGAGAAAGGCAGCAACCAATTCTCCTACCCATTCATTCTTTCAAACAAAAATTCCTGAGTTCCTATCATGCTCCAGGTCTGACATTAAAATTCATTCTTTACCTCGTGTCTCAAACGCCAGCAAGAACGTAAGCATTCTGTAACAAACATGCTTTTGTTGTTTCTTTGCAGTTTTCATCCCAAATATCCACATGGTGATTCTCTTGCCTCCTTCAGGCCTTTATGCACATGTCACCTTGTCAGTGACTCCATTGTGGTCTGATATAAAATAGCAAGCGTCCCTTCCTGCCTCTGCCTTAACCTCTCACCCTAAGGTATCGTTCACTTAGCTTTTCCTTCCAGCAGGTGATATAAACCTCATCACGCACATATTCAGTACCTTGTTTAAAGTCTGTTTCCCTCACTCCTCGGTTACTGGACCCTCCCTCATTACCCCACATGGCCAGGGATTGTGTCAGTTTGTTCATTCCTGTTGATGGCAAGGTTTGAGTCCAGGGTATCATGCCTGGTATAAAACTGTTGAATGAACACATAGGCATAGAAGCAAGAAACAAGGGTATAAGTTCTTACAATTTAACAGTAAATAATGTGATAAGCATCAATGTGTGTGTAGGTCTGATTTCTTTGGGAGATGATAGATAGATAAGTAGATGATAGATAGATAGATAATAGTTAGATAGATAGATAGATAGATAGATAGATAGATAGATAGATAGATAGATAGACAGACAGTTGTTAGGTACCAACAAGTTGGAACTGACTTACAGCTTCCATAGCTGTCCCTCCCAAGGATTTTCAGATGTGCTAATAGCTTAGGAGAAGAAAGTCTCTCTCTCTCTCCCATGGAGCAGCTAGTGGATTCAAACCACCTGCCTTCAGGTTGGCAGCACTCGGCCCCCAGAGCTTCCAGAGGTGTGTGTGTGTGTGTGTGTGTGTGAGAGAGAGAGAGAGAGAGAGATTGCTAGATCAAATAGCATTTCCCTTCCCCGATTTCTAAGGAAGCGTCAGCTCTTTTCCATAGTAGTTGCCCTGTTTCCACTCCTCCGAGCACTGTCTGAGCATTCCAGTCCCTCCACAGTCACCAGTATCTGTAGTTTGTTGCCCTCCTGAACTTTGGCTGTTGGTGAGACAGCTCATTGCTGCTTTGTTTTGCATCCTCTACGGCTCATGATCTTTGGGCGTTTCTTCACGTGTTTGTTGGCCGTCTGAATGTCTTCTTGGGTGAAGTGTCTTTTCACGTCCTCTACTCATTTTATTTTGTAATTGGATTTTTGGAAGGCTGCTCCACACACAAAGGAACTTGTGTTCTAGAAAGAAAGGATCCGAACTCTCTCTCTCTGCAGGGTAGAGTTGGCCGGCTCTATTTGGAAGCAAACATTTTGTTAGCAGTTGGCTGGTGTGGACTGGTGTTTCAAGTGTTTTAGTGAAAAGACTCTGGCTTTTAATCAACACTTTAGAATTCACATTGGGTTGCCAGCTGCTTCATGGGAGAAGGATGGGCACCATAAAGACCACAGCCCTGGAAACCTGCTGGAGAGGTGCTACAAGCCAGAACTGACTCGGCGGCAGCGGGCTTGGATTATTCTGTGGTTTTGTGACCAATATACCAGTTGTCATCAAGTCATGGCATTTTCAGTGACTCATTTTTCAAAAGTAGATTTCCAGGGCTTCCTTTCAAAGCTCTTCTGGGTGCACCGGACCCTTTTGGTCTGTAACCAAGCACCCAGGAAACCACACGGGGTCTCTGCCAGCTGGAATCAATTGAACAGCAAGGCTGGTTTTCAAAAACATTGGTAACAATTATGAATTTTTAATCGCTTTTGTCTCCTGTCAGACTCTCAGTGGCATAAGTGGGTCTCTGACGTAGCTGGGTGACGTAGGAGAAGATCCACATCAGAGTCTATGCAGGTGCTGATCTCAGTGGCTCGATGTGGTCGCTGAGATGATGATCATGACTGTTCCCTTAGTCAAGCACAGTGCGTGGGATGCTCATCGCCTCAGTGCACATGGCAAAGCTTCACCCACTTAGGAAGTGCATTTAGAAAGATAAAGACCATAAAACAGAAGGCGTGCAAAGTAGGATACAGAGATTCATGGAAGAGAAAGCCGCAGGAAGGAAATGGGAAAATAGAAATTACATTGTGAGTATTATAATTGCTGTTATGAAACAAAATGTGTCTAATAGTTGAATGGAAACCCAGTTTGCTTTGCAAACCTTCACTCAAGTCATTTTACAAATAAATAAAACTTTAAAAATGACAATAACAACAAACTTGACAATGCCATATTAAAGACTTGGACTCTAATCCTCTTAGCAGCTCCCTAAGATAGGAAGTGTTATCTCTCTTTCACAAAGAGGCCTTCACAGGCTCTGAGTGACTCAGTCCTTTGTCCGAGTTGCCCTATCAGCTGTGACAGAGCTGGAATGGGAAGGCCATCGGGTCCACGTTGATGACTCTCAGCTTCTTTTTTTCTTTTTAAGGACTTTTCTTGCATCGGTTATATAGGAAGCTTCCTAGGACCAACATATATCTGAGTTCCTCACCTCCCCCAGCTCCTGGCATGTTTCAGCCCCACGTCTTAAACATGACTGAGCTGATGCACAGCTGTGGTGAAAGAACGGACTAAATTCAGCTGCTGATTTTGACGAGCTGTGTGGCTAAGCTGCTTTAGAGACCTAACGCACAGAGCAGCGACCAGTCTGTCTGGAGCTGTACTGCTTAGCCAAAGGCCATGGCTCTCCGATGGTTCAAACCCACCAGTGGCCCCGCAGTTGGACAGTCTCCTCTGGGTGTCAGTTACAGCCTCAGAAACTCAGTGGGGTGGGTCAGTGATGAGTGCCTTCCAACTTGATGGCCATGAGTTACTCTCTCCTTCATCATCCCAGTCAAAAGATGGTTTGGGTGTTCATTATCACAAGTGTGGAAACTGCAGCTAAATGCAGCCAGTTCCGGTCTTCAGAACATTCAGCAGGCAGCCACCCCTGTTCATCAGGTGAGCACGTGGAGTGCAGGTCTTCCTCCGAATGGAGGAACGCTTTCAAGTAGAAACACCCTCTTCCTTCGTATTTCCTGTGTGTTCTTAACAAGCTGTAGAGGTGGAATCCATTCCATGTTGTACTGCTAATGAAAGGCTTTACATTCTGGCAGTTCTAATCCACAAGTCTCTCTACGGGAGAAAGACTGGGCAGTTCGCTCTTGTTGAGACTTGCAGCCTGGGAGCCCCACGCAGGGTCACTTTGAGTTGGAATCAGCCTGAAGGCAGTTAGTCATCTACCTTCCCCAGCATGAGGAGCACCTCTCTAAGGACTGGTCCCTCCTGACAACATGCTCAAAGGATGTGAGATGAAGTTTCACCATCCTTGCCTCTAAGGAGCACCTTGGTTGCACTTCCTCCAAGATGGACTTGTTTGTTCTCTCGGCAATCCATGGGATATTCAGTATTCTTGTCCAGTGCCATAGTTCAAAGGCACTTATCCTTCTTCTGTCAACCTTATTTATTGTCCAACTTTCAAATGCATAGAAAGTAATAGAAAAGAGCACGATTTAGATTAGGTGCACCCTAGTCTTTAAACTGACATCATTGCTCTTTAAAATTTGAAGAGGTCCTTAACAGTTTATTTTCTTAATGCAACATACCTTTTGATATTTTGACTGTTGACACTTTCTGTGTTGATTGTGTGTCCAAGTAAAGTGAAATTGTTGATCCCTTCAATCTTTTTATTCCTCTATCATGATGTTACCTATTGGCCTAGTGTTGAAGATTTTTGTCTTCTTGACAAAAAAAAAAATTGAAATATAATCCAGATTGAAGAGTGTGTCCTTTGATTTTCTACAGCAAGTGTTTTAAGTTGGCTTCACTTTCCTCAAGCAAGGTTGTATCATCTGCATAATGCAGATTGTTAATGAGCTTTCCTCCAATCCTGATGTCACATTCTTTCTCATAGAGTCCATATCTTAAAAATATTCAAACAAGAAATTTGAAAGCCAAAATGGAAAAGGGTTCCATGGGAATGGCACTTAGACACAGGTCAGTCGGTCCTGAGAGATGGGCGAGCGCCGTTCGGAAGAGACAGGTGATGAGGTCCTTTGCCTTTAGCCTGTGAGTGTTGTAGATCCTGCGTTTGTCACAAACTGAAGGTTTGCTGCAAGCCTGCATCAGACAAATCTGTCAGTGCCTTTTCCCCAGCAGCGTCTGGTCATATGTGTGGAATCACTTTTGGATAATTCTTGCAATACTGCAAGCTTTTCCATCACACACATGTCATAGACTGCGTGATAGAGGACACCTAACTTAACACACACCTGGAAGAGAAAAATTCACGGGCCTTGCTTTACTACACCGGTCTGGAAGCCTACCCGCACAATCTCCCAAGGCATACACTTGTGTATTTGACAGGGAAATAGCTATCATTTCATTAAGTGTTTGCTGTGAGGCTCACCATTACCCTGAGACGTATACACTTATTATCTTATCTGATTCTCCCAACAACCCAGTACGTTAATCACCTCTTTCTACCTGAAAGCCTTTGAGAGCTGGGAGGACCGTCTGTCTTTTCAGGTCTCACGAGTTTGACAGGGAGCCTCCCCACGTCTCTCTTAGTGGGAAATATTTGCATTTGCTGTCTCTGACAGGTTTCTGCTGACACAGGCTCTGGTGTTCCCAAGGTTTTCAGCATGTTGTTACTTGCCCCACCCCCCAGTGCCTCTCATGGCCCCTCTTTGACAGAAGACAGCAGATGCATAGAAAGATGAGTAGCTGACCCCCGTAATGGTCAGCAAGTGACAGAAGCAGCGACAGGGCTGACTTTTTTTTTTACATTGTTGAGGATTTAATTTTATATGGTTCAAGAATCAACAGTCTTATCAGCAGCAGTCAATCAATCAAATAGCATACTACATGGGGAGAATATTCAGTCTTCCTATCCATTACCAATCTTTTATTTTGTCTCACAGAAATGCTGTGTAGGGTTTTTTGTACAGGTCTTTTGTGTCTCTAATTCAGTTCACCTCCAAGTATCTCAGTTTGTGATTTGTTATTGTAAATGGTATTGCTTTCTTGGTTTCCTTTTCTTAGTTCTCTTTGTTACTGTAGAGGAATCCCACTCATTTTTGGATATTGTATCCTTTCCACTCTACTAAATTGGTCTACTAGCTCTAAGAGACAATGAGATACCATCTTATGCCAAGTAATGGAAAACTATTTTTACCCCATCCCCTGCACAGCTCCTGTGATGACAGAGCCTGCAGTTACTGCTCTCTGCCAGGGACCCCACATTGGTGCTGTAGGATCCTCTGTCTCAGTGTAGCTGGTGGGAAAGTCAAGTCCCCGAGAGGGAGAGAGGTCAACCTGGGTCGCTCCTCTCCTTGCTGACAGAGCTGAGAGTACATCAGCCTCCCCTCCAGATCCAGCTACATATGGGGCCAGAATCCCTCTTTGCAAACCTCTGAGTCCCTGGCAGGAATGCCATCTTTCGTTGATGCTGCTTGAGAAGTGTACTCACCCGTGGTAAACTTTGGCCACACAGATCCCGGGAATGTAGCTCTCTCGGCCAGTGCTAAGAGAAATGGCTTTCCACCAGCCCCCTTCGCTGAAGGACAGAGCAGACAGAAAGGGTGGGTGAGTCAAAGACAAAAGAAATGGTAAGACCATCGGGCCTGCTTGGATTTGGCAGACCAGACGTGAATGATACGTACAGTGACCAGACTTAGTGGGACAGGGCCATGACTGGTCATGCTAACCTGAATCTCTCCACGTGCAAGTTTAGTTTCAAGATGTATTTAGTCAATAAATTATTCTGAGGTCATTAGTGAGTCTTCCCATATCCTGACAATACCTACTTTTTAAAAAAAATTATTTTTAATTTCAATGAACATCTACAGAGATTTTGAAATTCCATTCATTCATTGTTGCATCTTTCGCTCCTCTCCTTGAAAAGCAAAAGAAAAACCCCTTCATTGGTATACAGTCCCACCCCCCGCACACCCCCCAACCCCACTTTTATTATCTGTGACCTGCAGAAAAAGTTCTCAACTTATCTTCTAGGCTTGGGATTTAAAAAAGCAACACATGTGAGCTAGATTGCTTTCGAACTTCCAAGGGCAGCCTCACATGTCCACTTCCGTGAGGATCCAACTGAAAAGGACGTAGAGCCCTTGGTGGCAATCAGACTCAGGAGATGGCAGGATCGAGAGGGGCACTTTTTGGTTATGATTGGAAGCGTTTCAGACCCTAAGTCTTACTCCCTGAGTATGCATAGATATATAGCATCAAGATTGTCTTGGGGTGAGAGGTGAGACCTCTCATAATCTGACAAGAAGTCAAGTCACATAGTGCATAGGACCAGATGAAGGAATTTACATTTTCTCCAGCAGGCAACAGGGAGCCATTGAAGGACGGGCATCATGAAGGAGGAAGGCCCCACGGTACACACAGATTCTCACCCACCGCTGGACCAGCGTCCATGCGAGTTAGGCAGCTAGAACCAAAAGCTGACCACCCCACACAAAGTGTGTGCACCCTCTTCCTGAGATCTGGGGTGTTTCGGAGCCCTGACTTACTCAGAGATCACGCGTAATTTCTCCCCTCGGCGGAATATGGGTGGGCTGATGTCCGGAGCCGGGTAGTCATTCAGCACTGCGAGGAAGTCGCTGTCCAGGCCTGGGGAAACGTGGAACAGGGGCTTATTTTATTCACAGGAATTAGATAGGAGGTCTTAGGGGCAAAAGGTAGAAAGATGAGTCCAGTTCGGACCACATGCACTGCCTCAGGTGGGAGGTCCCCTCTCTGCACCTCATGGGTCCAACATCTGTCCAGGTGGGGGTATGATAATGAGGTCTGAGGAGCCCCCAGAGCTGAGAGACTAACTCGTCAATTCTCAGAGAAGCGCTCCCTCTGTGTAAGTTGAAAGACACATCACTGGGGGCTTCTTTAATCTGCCCTGTGTGGTGGTGAAGGAATGCTCATGGTGTAGTATACTACACGCAGGGCTGCTAATAAAAAGGTCAGCGGTTCAAATTTAGCAGTTACCCCTCAGGGAAAAGGTGAGGGTTTATGGGCTGTCTCCTCTCATAATGACTGATAAGCTCTTCAACCTGTGGAGAGGCACCATGAACTTGGTGGCAGTGGGTTTAGCTTTTGGGGTTTAGGCATAAAGAGAAGAAATACCATGTGCTTTTTGTTAAATGTGTTTTGAAAGCCATTATGATACGTGCTGAGAGGAAGCTTGTGATTGGAGCGTGTTACTCCAGCTTTCCCTAGAGGGAGGAGGGGAGGAGGGGCAGTGTCTTAGGGCACCAAGCAAAGCCTTATGTCCTTATGTCCCAAATGGGTTCTGATTCCCAGACCCGACAACAGAGCAAAACGCCACCTGATACTGCCCCATCCTTCCCATCCCGGCGCCAATGCAGCCACTTCCAGTCCCTCCCTTCGAGAGTCTTCCTCTCTTTCAGCAACCTTCCACTTTTCTGAGCATGGCATCCTTCTTCACAGACTGGCCCGCAGGCTGTGAGGCAAGGCCTCGCTACCCTCTCTTCTAAGGACCTCCCTGGACTCCTTTCTTCCAAGACAGATTAATCTGTTGTCTTGGAAGTCCATGTTCAATATTCCCCACCAGCACTACAGTTCACAGGCGTCCAGTCTCCTTCTATTTGCCCTCATGTCGGCACATTGGATGCAGGGAAACATGGGGGGATGTTTGGAGCGGAATGGTGGGTCTTACAAACCAGCAAATCTAGGTGCTGGCAGAATTCCAGATAACACTAGTTTGATTCATTTGGGGATTGTTTGCTGTGCCCCGGCTGGGTCACACACTGGTGAGCGGGCTGCCGAGTCTTCTGCTCCAGTAGAACTCACTTTTTAGATGAAAGATCAATAATCAGAAAAATCACCCTGAAATCATGGCTCCTGGTCACCTTCAGGCTGGGAACTGAACTCAGTCCAGTGGCTCAGCTTGGAGCCAAATGATAGACAGGTTTACGCAGTGAACAGTAATGCTAGGGAAGTGCTCACCCCTTATTACAATCAGCCACGCAAGGTCCAAAGGGCAGCACTGGCCCAGCAGTCAAGCTTAGAAGGCAGGAGAGGAGAGGAAGGAAGGGTGGGTAGAAAGGAGAATCACAGGGAGGGATGAGGAAGGAGGCTGTCACCATGGGAGATTGTTCTTAATGTCATAAAGCAAAACATGAGCGAATGGTTGAATGGAAAGGCCATTTATTCTTTAAACTTTCATTTTTTAAAAAAAAATTCTAACAATCTTGAGAAATTTCAGCACTGCGATCAGTGGTCTTAAGGTCTGACAGAGGCCATTTTTTGGGACCCAGACAACCTAGAACCACTAGACTTTTCCCTGTTCCCAACCTTTCAGACTACAGGGCAGACTGTGTGTGTCACTTGGGACCTTAACCATCAGAGTGAATAAAAAACAGAAAGGAGGATTTTTGTGGGGAATTTGGCTACTGATTAGAAACAAATCAATCAGGGCTGAGTTAGCACAGTGGTGCCATGTGCTTTAACGGACCATAGGGTCACAACCCACTGTAAATGCCATAGGGCTAACAGTGGGAAAGGGGCCTGGAGCCCTCAGGGCTCCAAAGACAGACTCTGGCAGGGATGAGGAATGAGGTCCCTGCAGCTCCCTTGAACTGTGGAGGGCTGATAAGTAAGACGTTTCCCTGTGCAGCCCAGGCCCGGGCCAGCGGGGAGCAGGAGGAGGGCCTGGGATGCTCTGGGAATTGCAGGCTGAGTTCTAAGAAAGGATGGGTCCAGATCCCTTGGGGCATGAAGTGGATGCAATCAGAGGTCATCATTCAGCAAGAAATGACAGAGACCACATTAGGTGTCAGTCCTGGGCTACCGTAGCAAGGTAGCTGGCACAGGCGGTGTCTTCAGCTTCCTGGTAAACCTGGCCACTCCTTCTCTGCACTGTCTGCTTTCCTCTGTTACTAACCTAGGGGGGGAGGGGCATGAAAGGCCTAGAAAGTTCCTTAATGTTGGAAATTTGTTTCTCTTCATCCATCAAAAACCTCAAATCTACTGTCTTTGAGTCAATTTCGACTCGTCGTGGTTGTACGGGACCAAGAACCGCCCCTTCTGGTGTCTAAGCCTGTAAATCTTCACAAACGCTGATAGCCTCATCTTTCTCCCTGGTGTGTTCTCATGGCTGACCTTTCTGTTAGCAACCAAATGCTTTAACCACTGGGTCACCAAGAATAGCCACTCTTCCTTATGCCGGTGACAGAACCCGAAAGAAATAGATTGTAAAAGGGTTTGAGGTTCATTGTCTGATTCCAGATTAAAATCGTATGACATGGACAAGCATCTGTTACTGCATTAAAAACAAAACTAAAACAGAAAGAAGAACAAAACTAAAAACATCCCACTTAAAAAAGACAATTGGTTCAAAGGGGAAAAGGAGGTTATGGGACTAGGGAGTTTCAAGTTCATGCTATCAAAGTTTCCTGTGGAAATTCTGCAGTGAAGATTCGTTTTATATACAGGGCCTAACACATTAGTGAGAAAACCTTGCAGGTGGACTTTGCCTTGTCATTTGAAAGGGACTTGGTGCATGTTCCAACTGTTGTCATCATTAGAAAAACAAAGTCACCCAGATGTATGGAACGCTGGTGTGTACGTGGTACGGCAAAGTTGTGGTTGTTAGGTGCTGGCAGGTCAGTTCTGACTCTTAGCAACTCCATGTGTCACAGAACCACACTCTGCCTGGTCTCAGGCACCTCTACAGTCCTTGCCAAGGTGGAGCTCATAGTCACAGTCACTGTGCCGACCTATCTCATTGAGGGTCTTTCACTATTGACCCTCTCTACCAAACACAGCCATGAGGCTAGCCTCTCAAAGCAAAGTTCTGTGGCTGAATCCAATCCAGATCTTCTCTGAGCCCGGGTCCCCACCATGAACTAGATACAAGGTGGACCGTTTAAACTCGCTCATGAAATCAATAAAGAGCAAGGCTATCGATTTAAAGACCACAGTGCCCCGGATCCAAGCTGAGGTATTTTCAGTTGCTTCATATGCATATGAAAGTTGGATCACAAATAAGAAAGACCAAAGAAGAAGCGATGCCTTTGAATCGTGGTGTTGGCAAACAGCATTGACTCTGTCACCGACAGCGACAGAACCAAAGAGCCGCCTGTTTCCGAGAAAGCGCGGCTGGGATGTTGGTGAAACTTCTTTTCACGAACTCTGCGCATGTTGTCAGGTGAGGCCAGTCCTTAGAAAGAGACATCATGCTTGGAAAGTCAACAAAAGCGAGGAAGTGCTCGGTGGGATGTATGGACACAGTGACCATAACGGTGGCCTTGAGTGTGGCAGTGACTATGAGGCTGGCACAGCGCAGGGCAGGGTCAGTCTGTTGTTCACAGAGTCGCTCTGAGGTGCCGTCCACTGGATGGCACTTAGCAACAAGCGCACCGACGTAAAGTTTAAGCACACGACGGTGCCTTCCTGGACCCGAGCGGCTTTGTGGGAAGCAGGGCATCAGAATGGAATCAGATGCATACAGAGGTTGCCTGGCAGAGAGGCACTGTGTGGAGCGGAGACGAGTGTGGGATTCCGCACAGGGCAGAGAGGACATCGGAGAAGGTCAGCAGAGGAGTGTTGAGTAAGCACTGAGGTCAGTCACCTCAGCTGACACACAGCCTCCACATCCTAACAGCACCGTGATTTTGGGGAAAATTTACTTTAAACTCGTCTGCAGTTGATGGATTTCCAAACCCTATGAACCTGGAGAAAGGAAGAAAGTCACACAGGTGTTGAGGACTTTTGTTCATAGGGTCGCTATGAGTCACCTACGACTCGACAGCACTTAACAACAATAACACCAACATAGAGAGAGATCAGTTGGCCTAGTGGAGAGAAAGTGATGCTAAAAGGTAGGTGACTTCTAATCTGTGGCCCTCAGGTTTGTTTTTCATTGTTTTTGGTCAAACATTCTTCTAGGTTGTATAGCCCTGGTCTGTCTACTTGCTGTACAGAGGTAATTCGTGGCTGCTGTGATGCTAAACACTGTGACACTGACGTGTCAAATGTGATAATGATTACCCATGGTGGACAGTGTTTGGTGGAGCTCCCTGATTAAAACAAGCTTGGAAGCAGGAGTGGCATCCACTTCTGTAAATAGCTTGCCTCCAGAAACCCTATGAACCTGGAGAAAGGATGAAAGTCACACAAGTGTCGAGGACTCTCATTCATAGGGTCACTATGAGTCGCCTATGACTCCACAACACTTAACAACAACAACAACAACAAAATGGGAACATTAGAATCTGACTCATCCCAACAAGAGATAGGATGATAAGGTGAAGAGTAAAAACACAGAGATATGCGCCCCTTAAACAAATGGCCCCACAAGTCCTAAGGGCAGCATTTACCCAGGGAGAAAGTAGGGAGGGAGAGGACAAAGGATGACTAGAAACAAGACACATAGGATTAAGCAGGAAGTGTGGTGTTTCATTAGGGGGACCAGAGTCAATGTCACAAAGCAAAATACTTATTAATGTTGTTGTTGTTGGTATGTGCCGTTGAGTCGCCTGCGACTCATAGCGACCCTATGTACAACAGCCCTAAACTCCGCTCTGTCCTGTGCCAATCGCACTGTCTCTGACACTCCCATCCCAATTACCCCAGTCACTGAATCAATGCACCTC